CCCCCCCTCTCTCTCTCTCTCTCTCTCTCGCGTCAGTGATGTTCTAGTGGTGTTTCTATATCGTCGTGCTCTTGCAGGGTGGTTTGCCCGTAGTTGCATGCACCGCTCGCAAATACCATCGTATCCTGTGCGCTTGGTATAACAAGGGGGTTGGAGGAGGATTCAGTCGGGTTTGAGGGGGTGTTGTGCAAAGGGGAGGTTATTAGGCAACGCAGCACCTCATCCCTCATCCACGTAACTGCGCCGCAGCGTGTATTATGTAACAACACGGAAACGAACTGTGAGGTGGTTGGTTGGCCGAAAGAGAAATGGAGAACGGTCGAGTAGGATAGAGAAGGAGAAATGCAAAAGCCTCGCTGATGTTGCTCTTGCTACTGCAAATATTACACGTATTCGTAACGATGCGCTCGTAACTCTCGGTTAGTATCTGTTATTTTCACGAGTGCTGAATCATTTTCGATTTGAGCACAAATTATACCTCCATGCGTTTCACGAGTGCTCGGTAAGACTGGCTCGTTTACACTAGCCAAGATCATACTTCCTATTGAACTTTAATATTGAAATTTCTTGTCAGATTCCTGACGAATACATTCTCTCTCTCTCTCTTTCTCTCTCTCTCTCTCTCTCTCATTTCGTTTCAATATTTTGATAAAATATTTAAACATATTTATATCTTAATATATTTTGTAATTAAAAGACATATGTTAGTAGGATCAAAATTTCATTATACTTTACTATATTTACATTTACGTACACTGTTACATATATATAAGGCAATCTGATACTTCTTCAGATAAATTCAGGGAACAAATCCCACTAATATATGAATCTAGAACTTTAATAATAGCTGCTAAGTTTGGAACACATACATCTCACGGCATTATCAGAAATCTTAATTTACAATTGAGTTCTGGCGGTTTAACGGACATTTTGCGGCCAATATAATGTCTAATAATTCTAATAATTCGCCGGTTTAGAGATGAATGGTGGGAGGGAAGGGTGGCGGCGCATAGGGTGAGTACGTTCCCTGGAGCTGTG